AACATGCTAGAGATTTTCTTTTCTCCTTCAATGCTAATAAATTTCGTTTTGTATGTCGAAAAAAACATTTCACTGCATGTACTGTGTATGGTTGTGTGTGACCAATAAAATTTGAATTTGAATTCTTTATGAGTGCTATTTGTGTTATTGTATGCCCAGGCGTGCCACGAGGATGTGTTACGAACCCTTGTTACGACTTCGATACACAGACTCCACTAGTTGTAGCAGCCTGGAACCAAAAGATGTAAAAGATGTGTTGACTTTGCTATTAGTGCTCCTATTAGCTATTTGCTGTTGGTATTCAGCAAGGACAGAGGCAAAGGAGAAACTCAACTAGTTCCAAAGGAAATTGCCCTGCTATTTCTCCATGATTACATATTGTACGTACCCTTCTGTTTTAAAAATGCCCGTGCACTCTTTGAATTTGAAACCTATTGAACATATGTGGTCTGAATTGAATAGGACAGTCCATGTCCAGTGTGGAAGAGTGTCCAAGATAATTGTTTCCAAACATGTTGGGCATTACAGGCTCAGTGCTGTTAATCTTTTCTCATTTCAGGGGATAAATGATAGTTGGGATGGTGATCATTTTGAATTCTAAATCTGAAAATTTAGTTTGGAAAATATTGAATTAAAACAAAACAATACGGCTTCTCAAAAAAGCATTATTGCATTTGCTATTATATATATATATATGTGTGTGTGTATGTATGTATACACCCCCCCCGACACACACACATATACACAGTGCATTCAGAAAGTATTCAGACCCCTTCATTTTTTTCACATTTTGTTATGTTGCAGCCTTATGCTAAAATGCTTTACATTTTTTTCACATCAATCCTCATGCCCCATAATGACAAAGAAAAAAAAAAACAGATTTGTGATAACATTGCAAGAAAAAGAAAGAAAGAAACTGAAAAAAACTAGCAAATTCAATTGATTGGACATGATTTGGAAAGGCACATAAATGTCTATATAAGGTCTAACAGCTGAAAATGCATATCAGAGCAAAAACCAAGACATGAGGACAAAAGAACTAAAAGCATGTAACTTGAATTTTTTTTTTTTGCAGATTCCAAGTGGGCTTTCATGTGTCTTGCACTGAGGAGAGGCTTCTGTCTGGCCACGCTGCCATAAAGCCCAGATTGGTAGAGTGTTGCAGTGATGGTTGACCTTCTGCAAGTTTCTCTCATCTCCACACAAGATCTCTGGAGCTCAACCAGAGTGACCACTGGGTTCTTGGTCACCTCTCTTATCAAAGCCCTTCTCCCCTGATTGCTCGGTTTGGCCGGGTGGCCAGCTCTAGGAAGAGTCCTGATTGTTCCAAACTTTTTCCATTTAAGAATTATGGAGGGCACTGTGCTTTTGGGAAACTTCAGTGCAGCAGAATTTTTTTGTAGCCTTCCCCAGATGTGTGCCTCGACACAATCCTGTCTCTGAGCTCTGCAGGCAGTTCCTTTGACCTCATAGCTTGGTTTTTGCTCTGATATGCATTTTCAGCTGTTAGACCTTATATAGGCATGTGTGTGCCTTTCCAAATCATGTCCAATCAATTGAATTTGCCACAGATAGACTCCAATCAAAGTGTAGAAACATCTCAAAGATGATCCAGAGAAATGGGATGCACCTGAGCTACATTTCAAGTGTCACAGCAAAGGGTCTGAATATGTATGTCAATGTGATATTTCAGTTTTTTCTTTTTAATAAATTTGCAAAGTTATCACAATTCTAGTTTTTGCTTTGTCATTATGGGGTATGGAGTGTAGATTGGAAAAAAATAATTTAAAGCATTTTAGCATAAGCATGTATCATGAAGGGTTCTGAATACCTTCTGAATGCACTATTTATATATGTATAGATAGTTTCATAAAGCATGCAAACATAGCTACAGTCTTTCCTATTTTCTCCAGAATCAAATCAGATGTCTTCCTGCTAAAAATAAAAATTCTGGCAGGAAATGATTGTTTTTAAATGGCAGTCGTGCAATGCATCACTGTCTACTAGTGTCAGAATTACCTGAAAACAAAGATTGCTCCTCACAATTGCTTCCATCTATTTGCAGCAAAAACATACAAGCCCATTTGAGTAATCAGCACTTCAGGCTTGCAGCAGCATAGTGAATATTTCTCTCCCTTTTTTTTTGGGTTGTGTAACGGAATACCACATTGAATGAAGCTGATGCAATGATGTCATGCTTCAGAGTCCATTAGTACAAAGAGCCCAAGGTGATTTCTAAACACTTTTACAGCATGATGACACTAACGGTCCTGCTGTTTTAAGAAGTTGCCACTAATTATGTGCCAGTGTACCCAAGTAAAACATTGAGCGCAGGAGCTTCCAGTCTGAGTGTAAAGGAATTTCCAAAGCCTTTCTCCATCCACATAATGGACATAAAATGAAACACTTACCAGCTCTTAAGAATAACTACTGCTAATTTGCAGGCCTAATGCTGGACATTACCATCCCAGATACATGTGCATTTAAGTTGTTTGGCTGTAATTTTAATTACATTGGATTTGCCTAATGATTTTCCACTAAGTCATTCCCAGGCGTGTGTGTCCAGACAGGGGAAATAGCACTCCTGTGCCCTCTCATTAGTGATGGGCCTGATATCACTCTCTGTCAAATATAACATAGCCACTGGCAACACGGTTTCACTCAGTGAAAGAGGCTTCTCTGTGAATGACATAGCACCCATGGGTAATGTAGTCTTTAATCACAGGTATGTGTGTTGGTTTAGATCAGGAGCTGTGGGACCTGTTGAACAGACTGCACTCTTTTCACTCTCAGAACTACATTTTGAAACTGCGCTGGCTCTCCGCTGAGACCTAGATGAATTAACCTCTAAAATATGCGTCATGGCATCTAAATAAATCGTACAAGGTGAGATGTTCTGTCAGTTATGATTCATCAGCAGACTTGCATATCAAATCCCCGCATCAGGCACGCAGCCAAGGAGATGCCACCCTGCGCCATCATTCAGCAGTGGATTGTTTGCTTTGCGAAGCACCCCTTGGAGGAGTGATTCAGTGGAGAGGACGCATCTAGCCCACAGCTTTCACCCTAGCTGATCACAGCAGACACTAGGGCACTGGGTAGTCTGTGATGTTGTGTGCCTTTGCATTCTTTGCTGGATGGTGGATGGGGGATGGCAAGGACAGAGTGCTTTGCCTCTAGGGCAAGTTCTCCTTTTCTCTGTCCCACGAGGATGCTGGCTGTTTAACATGGATGAGAGCTCTCAGCATAGACATGCTTATTTTTCTTCCTTGGCATTCGGGCATGCTGTTTGTCTGAACTAGGGCAATTTCAAACAATCTCATAAGCCATCATATCTCATTAGGACCTTCATATTTTTAGGTCTCCATTTGACCTAAAAACAACTTCACTGGGATGGGACCACTTGCAAACACACATGGCATGGCATCATTATCAAATATTGAACATAAGAAGCAATTGATCATTACACTATGGGCATTTCAGATGGAAGAGAAGATCAGAAATGCATCTGTACTCCATATATGGCCCATTTTGGGAGCTCTGGTTGGAGAAAATCTTGATCTGGCACAGGTGCTTAATTTTTCCTCACTGATGTGATACTAACACCACAGCAAAAACAGAACACTTACCTAAATTTACTATTTGGTTTCTGGGTTTTTTTTCTTTTTTTGGTTGGTTGCAGTTCTTAATGTTCTGGGAACATTCTGTTTTGGTTAGCAACGTCAGTGCTGTTCCCGAAACATTCTGGAAACTTGTAAACACAGTGTTCTCATATGTTCTCACATGTTTATTTGACAAATGACAATGGATAAGTTTAGGTACTATTTTTATAACTACAAACCAACATTCCAGGAGTGTTCCTGTAATGTTCCTTCAGGGTCTCCTAACAGGAAGTTCACCAAATTAAGTGTTGTCTGTTATAACCAAAAGATAATCTTCTCAGAACATTATGAAATGGTTCCCAAATGCTAATATTATGTATGTGTTTGCTGAGACCCATTTAAAACCTTGTGTCGAATGTGGAAAACCTTGAATTTCTTGATACGCGTTCACTATCTGCCCACATGCTGACCGCAAATAGCACAGTAATAGTAGGTGGTATAAAAAACGAGCCCACACACAGAGCAGGCACAGCACAAAACATTTCTCCAGTGTGTGAGCCTTCACACTACACTACACGCTGTCCTTGAGAGCTGAAGATGAATTGTCCCACTGCAAGCCTATGAGCAAGCATCAGTGTTGTACAAATGACCTCTGTAATCTGGTCTCATGTACAGATATGAATTCCCACTGCAGCGTTTCATCTGGTCACTGCAATTGCTCAACATGTTGGCTGTTGCCCTCTAGGGGTCAGATTTTCATGTATTTGAGTATTGTAAACATCAGCATACAAACAAAACGTCATCTGTGATCAATGATGAGTGTGCTGCATATGAACACACATTTTTTATTATCTTACCATCAAAATTGAAGGAGATGACACAATGCCCAAGACTTCTCTGCTTCATTTTCAGCCAAAACAAATCATAGCAACAGAGATTTGGACAGGACTACATGGCAACTGAGGTGCGCATTATGTCTGCTGATAAAAATAGTTTCACCAGAAGGCTTTTCAGCACCGTTAGTCTTCATTGCATACAGTCTATTAGCTTGAATTTCTATGGCAACAAAAAGAGCCCATTGCCTTGTCGCTACATGGCTTGCAGGCTTAAGCCAGACGCTGTGGGTGGATTGACACCTGTTTTCCACAGCGCTGGGTGAGTAAGGGAGCCTTCGCCAACATCACTGGCAGGCACTGACACTTGCACTCTTGTAGTGGAATGCCTCTTCACAGCCGTAAGCTTTAAAATAAACAACAACTGTCACAGGACATATCTGTTTTAGCTTTTTTAACCCATATTCCTGTTCCTGTTACTCCATTAAAATGGATGCCCCATTCATACAGGCTGGGTCTTTTGATTTTATAGCAATACAGGTACAATACACATGTATCCTCTAGGTCCCTGGAGGACTAGTGGTTAGGCCACCACGCTCTCGCCTCTGAAGCCTGGGTTCGATTCCTGGCCAGGAAACCAACCCCAACCACTGCGGTTGCATGCAATAGTGCGCTCTCAGTGCCGGTCCCAAGCTCAGATAAAACTGGGGAGGGCTGCGTCAGGAAGTGCATCCGGCGTAAAAACTGTGCCGAAATCAAATACATGGACCAGTGATCCGCTATGGCGACCCCTAACGGGAGCAGCTGAAAGAGGAACAACAACACGTGTATCATAGGTTATTAGCAAACAATACTGATGAAAATATATACATGAAAGTATTCACATGCTTGGGGATATATATTTTTATTTTTACTCCCATTTTCTCCCAATTTGGTCATTTGCCAATTACCACCCACAAGCTAGCTCTCCCGTATCACATGGCAGCAACCATCTAGGGAAGCTGAAGGCTAACACATGCTTACTTTAACATACCTGAAGCCAGCCAATGCATCTTTTGAACTGTTGTTCAAGCTGCATCACAGGACAGCGCAACACACTTGGAGTAAAGCACTATCTGCCCTCCTCCACATACAGATGTCCATGATTTCCTAGTGTTGCTCTGATTGACAGAGAACGGCTAATTATGCTCTATTGGCCTCCCGGCAATGGATAGCTGTGGTATCATCAGGAGGTTGAGAGTTCAAATCCTGACAATACCGGTCAAACGTTTTTGTGTTAAGCCACTTGGTAGTCTGCATTGGAATAATTTTTTTTTGGAATCATCATTGATGGCAGGTGTGTGCATAGGTATTTTCTCAAATGAGAAATAATTAGACAAAAAAATGCAAATAAAAGAAACAGGTAATTTAGAGGCCCATTCTGTATAAACATTTGCACACAAGGTTCCTTGCACCACGTATGCTTCATTTGCTTCATTTGTATGAATGCTTCCCATGTTTGCCCTGCAATGGTCTGGAATCCCTGCCTTGCAAGCAGTGTTCTTGGGATTGGCTCCAGATCCACCCTCTCCCTGACCAGGATAAAGCAGATTTGCGGTGTAATGATCCAAGAATTTAGATTGATGTATCAATTTAAAAGGCAACAAATGAAATTAATCAATGTACATAAATAGATTATTATTGAAAAAAGACAAACTACTGTTGTTTATATTATTTATTCATATTTCTAAACTGATGTGTGAATAATTTAACAGGCTAGCAATGTGATATGCCCATAACTCTGATACTTTTAAAATAGTCCTTCTTTATGTCTTCATCATTCACGAATTAATGGTAGGCCTACCCCTGATTCTGAATAAAGCTGGTCACATATCGATCAGAAGCTACAAATTAAATCATATTGTATTGTAGCAGATTGAGTAGAATCAACTAATACAGAAGCGTTGCCTTTTGAGCCTAAGGTTTACACCCCTACTCAAAATGAACGAATGAATAAATATACATTCCAGATATTGAAAATCTTCCATCCTATACATAAAGTGTCCTGGAGGAGTGTGACCTCGGCTTTAGGTCAGGTAAAGTGGCACCATTGCAGATATTTTGACCCTGAGCTGAACCCTCATGTGATGTAGCTCCTCTCCACCTCTGTCTCCTGTCAGTGGAACTGATGGAGCATGAGACAGCCAGGAGACACTTCGTTGATCCGGAGACACTTTGTAGGGATGGGGTCACCATGGGGCAGGCACTGTGCACATGGCCCATCATACGCCACCTGATTCCCAGTGCACCAGCCCCGCCTCTCCAAAAACACACCAATCACAAAGAGAATCTAAGAGAGAAGGAGAAATTCTGTATTTTTTTTTATTTTTTTTTTGCTGTGGTTCAGAAAGTCTCTGTATTCTGCCCTAAAGGTATTTTATGCTTAATTCAGCCAATATGGATATTAATTGAGATAAAGCAATAAATTGCTTTAAGGAAAAAGGAAGCTTTGTTTCATTTAATGAGATTATGTTTTAGGGCGTGCTATTACATGATTCATTATTTAAGCTCACTGCATCTCAGACCTTGTCTACAAACACTAAAAATACAATGTCAAAATGAAAGAGGGGATATGTGTCGGGCAATTAGCTTTTAACCTGGAACAAATTGTTTTCTGTCTGCACTGATTAAGCAGACAAGAAGAAAGACTGAATGTTTTACTATAAAGGTGATAAAACTCAGTGTACACTGACGCAAGAACAGTTAAGGCTAAACCTTATCAGGCTGAACACATCAATTCCACTGGGCTGAACTAAGCTATTTGAAGCTTATTCTAGCAAGGAAAACTAGAATCCCAACCAAATATAGCTAGGAGAGGATGTACCAGAGCCTTTGACATAAGTGGTTGGCTTTTCTTTCTTGTTTCTTGGTTGTAGCTCATGATGATTCCCTAATAAAGATCTAGACAGCAGATGCCCGTCATGGACGAGTGTGATTATTAGTGGGTGCTGCAACTGCTATCCTTCTGGACTTCTGTTGAGTCAGGAGGCTCCTCATTTGTCAGTATGAGTGTGTCAGAGGACAGGCTGTAAAAAGTACTTTATTATAGAGCAGGGAGGCCCATGTACACAATACTCAAAGCGAAGTTTTGGCAGACAACAAGTGCTGGCTATCCATGCTGGAAATCCCCAGAAAGATGACATGATTTTAAGCTGTTCTGTAGGATTTTTTATAATTGATGAGACATCCAGGAACGTAGCGCAGCAACCTGGCGACGGTAACACCAAAAAATTTAGTTCTATATACATGAAGCTGTGGTGTGTGTGTGTGTGTGTGTGTGTGTGTGCATGTGCTGTCCAGCCGTCCAGCTGAAGGTTAAACCACCCCAACCCCATTTTCTCACCAATTTAGTCACCTCCCAATTCCCACCCACCCCTATCATAATACAGCTACCAACCAGGGAGGATGAAGGCTAACACATGCTACTTCTGAGATACATGAAGTAGGCCTGCATCTGCATCTTTTCAAACTGCTGGAAATGGCAGGAAAAGGAAAAGGAAATTGCTATCTGCCCTCTTCCACATACATGAGCTCACAGATGCCCATGATTGGCTAGTGTTGCTGTGATTGGAAGAGGAAAGAGAGTATGCCATCCCTCCCACCCAAAGATAATGGCCAAATTTGCTCCCTTGGCTCCTGAATGCTCTTCTGTTATACTACTTGGGATCAGAATCGACTTCTTTTAATTGACCCGGTATGACTGTGCGCAAGGTGCTCTCTTATAGACTGGCTGTGTTCCTAGGAAAAAAAAAAACTTAAAAAAAAAAAAAAAAGCAAAGCAAAATCTATTTAAATTAAATGAGATAAATAGATTGCCAGTATCGTGACTTCAATTCTGATTTGCCCCTTGGATTTGTCTACTTTGCTGTTTCTCGATGAAACCCTGCAATTGCATCCAAAACCCTGTCTGTGCCTGATGAAAAGAAGTTCCGGTTTGAATATATTCAGCACTTAATAGCTTGCTTATTTCTCATCCAAATTGAATTCTATCACCATGCGTGCTCTTAAAGCTCATTTTTCACTTTTAAACTCATTTACACTGTCAATCATGGGACACCACTGATATGCAGATTGGTCTTTTTTGCTCAGCAGGTTGCATTTTGTTATCCCCCCCCATGCACTCATTTTACCTCAGGGTAATATTCCTCAAGAGAAAAAGATGTACAAGCACTTACCAAGAGCTGCAATAAAGTCTGAGAGCTGAGTCGGGATAGTTTTTCATCCAGAATGACTGCTTTGGCTCTACAGCTGAGGCCATGATGCCAAAAGAAATGTCTGAGGAGAGTAAGACGTAACTATTTATCACACAGATGTGCACCTTTCATCCTCATTTTTCATTCTCTCTTTACTGAATACTCATCTGATCTGTATCCAGAGGATAATGTTTGAGTGTCATGAATTCAGGTTCATTACAAGTTTGAACACTGTTATTCATTACAAGTGAAATTAACATTAGGGTTCTGAAACATGTAAAAACTAGGACAACCTCTTACACGAGTACCACAAGTTGGCCTATGGCATGAAGCGCGAGTTGGTTTTGATGTTTCTGCAACAAAGTTAATTTTCTCTCTTCATTTCCTCTCTTCATTTTCTTATTTCAAGACTCTTCTGGCATTTCACTTCAATTCTATTTTCGCTGTATTTTTCATCGGGGCAGCATGGTGGCACAGCAGGAAGTGTTGCTGCTTCACAGCTCCAGGGTCTGAACATTAAACATTCAGATAAACCCCCTGCTGTTATTGATATTATGCCCTTAAATCACCTGTTATCCAGTCATGCTCTCAATGCATTGTTATCAACCTATTAAATAGTCCACATACCTTAAAAAAGCTCTGTGTCTATTTATTGGTTTTGAAGATGGGCTTTTCATATGAAGTTTTTTTTTTTTTTTTTTTTGGTAATTTTCTCTATTCTATGCGATAAATATTATTGCTAGATTTCAAAACGTCTAAGCACAATCCAGTATCAGCACAATATTCACAATATACGAAGAAGACAACATTGCAAAAAACTGGACTTTCCACAACAGGTCCACAGATCATAAAGTTGTGATTTCTGGGCATTCATAAAACATGTGAAGAAGAGTGCCCTTAGAACCATCGCACCTCCAGCATATATCTGATTCTCACAATTTCAATCTTCCCATCAAACTGAGAGTCCAGGAGGTCCTGGTTAATATTTTATATTCTATGAACGTGGTCAGCATCTCCTTTAATATTTTATGCCATATCACAACAAACATATTGATAAAAACGAAGGCTTTCCTCTCAAACCATGCATGCATGTTTGAAGGAAAAAGTTCACTAGTTTATCCTAGTTTGCAACATGTATACTCCTTTATTCCTGAAGCAAGGTTCACAGGTGTCTGTATACTTAAGTTTACATTTGATGCCACAGAATGGGTATGTCTTGGAGGAAGCACCCTTAACTAGGGGTTGCACAGATTAGTTGACCTCTACATCAGTATTCACTGCTGTGGGGATGTCAAATAGTTGAGGTGGTAGAAAAAAAAAAAAACACGAGGCAAACAGTAAGGAGATGGAGCCAGACTAAATGTACTTTCATACTCTGTCAGCCAATTCAACAGTCATCTGCAGT